ATCTACTAAGAAACAGCGAGAACACACATAGATAATTTTAATGCAGGAGCGTTGAGAAAATGTTGACATCGCTTGCGCGACAGGAAACCACCGTGATGCGAAATAGGAAAAAAACTGAGTAAATAAAAAGCAGCAAGCATATATTGGTATTCCAACCCAGGTCCCCTGCCTGCCAGCCCACATTCTACCACAGAGCCTGCTGGTGTTTTTTTTCTATATTTTTGGTTGGACATCATGCACAAGGGGACAAAATAAAGATATTACAATGAACAAGAAACATGACAGAGTACTACTATGGCAATCATGCATTGCCAAAAGACACCACGTCTTAAAATTCCTTCATAGTAAGCAGGGCTGCTACCCGTTTGAATCATCAAGGAACATATTCATTTGTTTTTACTACCTCGATAGGCCTTGGTACACTTTCTTTAAGCTCCTCTCTTGCTGGTCTCTTGTAAATGCCGCAGTGAAATCCAGTTATTCGAGAGCTTCATCCAGCTATTCAAGTACTTAAAGCAGTTAGCATGCTGTGTATGTTCAGTTAGCATCCTGTCATGTTTACGTGTAAGAACTCGACTGTAACAGTTCATTTTAGTATAAAATAAACCGTATAACTCATCGGCTGTGAGCTCTGCCCACCACCGGCGACCGCCATTTTGCTATGGCGTTCGTGACGTCCCGACCCATAAGCAGCAGTGCCGCCGTACACAGCACCTGCCCCATGCGGTCAGTGTGCTCACTAAGTTGCTAGTATTGCTTGTCGCGTGTCCGCACGTGTCAGCGGGTTGCAAGTGCTGTGGCGTGCCATCGGTAACATCGCCATGTCGTCGGCCCCATCACCTCACAATTGGGGCAATGGTTCACTGAGCAGCAGAAGCGGCGGCGACGTCGTGTACCCTGTGCATTTTGACTTCGGCCCCAGTGAGGAAAAAAGCGTCGACGCCAAGAGGAAGCCAAATGCCAACGATGCCCAATCATGTACGTGTTGTCCGTTTGGTTTGGGTCCCAGGTCACACTGGACTAACACTAAATGAAGCAGCGGACAAACTGGCGACATCATCAGTTAATTGTCCTGTCCTGAATATTCTAAGACCGTGTTGCCCATATATAATCGTGCAATTTCAAAATTTCTGTACACGTCATGAACACACCAACTCTTCTGTTCTAAATGCCCCGCCGCGGTGGTCTAGTGGCTAAGGTACTCGGCTGCTGACCCGCAGGGCGCGGGTTCGAATCCCGGCTGCGGCGGCTGCATTTCCGATGGAGGCGGAAATGTTGTAGGCCCGTGTGCTCAGATTTGGGTGCACGTTAAAGAACCCCAGGTGGTCTAAATTTCCGGAGCCCTCCACTACAGCGTCTCTCATAATCATATAGTGGTTTTGGGACGTTAAACTCCACATATCAATCGATCTTCTGTTCTAAATGTAGCAGACTTTCAGCGCCTCAAGTTTTCACGGTACAGCTCATGGTGTGCAACAAGATAATTTGAAGTGACATTTACTAAATTGCGCTGCATCATTCCACCTTTAAATATTGTTCATACAAACCTGACTTTGTTCATTTCCTTCAATGTTACTACTGTACACAAGCAGAAACTATAGGGAACTTTCTTACGAAATACCACAGGTATCAAATTTAAGGCGAGAACTTCTGACACCAGCTTTTTGAAAACATGGGCTCGAGCTGTCTGAAACGGTTTTGCTCTCCCTATGGGCATCACCACTGGGTCATTGCAACAAGGGCATAAATGGAGCTGTACATAACTATTTAAAATATTCAAACCTGCAACCATGCCAACATCACAAGTACATACTTATTACTTTTTCTGCGCCATTAGTATATTTCATGTATTTTACAATACATTTTGCTACCTTTATTTTTTTCCTTCTATAACAATTCATAATAGACTGTTACAACGTATCTTTTCGTTGGCCTAAAAAAATCTTCAGAGGCAGCCCCCTCTCCTGTTTTTTTTTTCGAAATCCCACTGCCGCACGAGTCATGGCTGGTACCCCGTGGTGCTTTAAGCCATTCCTCTTGAGTACAACCAACCAACCAACAACCTCGGTGTTGTGGAAGATGTTGCAGACGGCCTTCCGCGATGATAAGTGGCTTTATTTCAAGCGTGCCAGGTTGACAAGCGAGCTCTAGATATGGGGTTCTATCGACGCTACACTCATTAGTAAGTCTTACTTTCCACCATGCGATTGGTAAAGCGTGAGAATTTACGGTTGCTAGCATGTACGAGCATGCGCGAGTTTTAGTGCTGAACATCATATATAAGTAGCCGTAACAATGTTGCACGTTGCGACTGTTACTTTTGAATTGGGTGTTGCGTGTGGTGTTTGTACGCATTATCCGAAGCGAACCTCAGGTCAGTGCGGTGCTAGTGTTACTCACGATATACATTTTGGCTGAATATCTGGTGGAACTCTATCGATTCAATTCGATTTAGGTAAAATACTAGCAAGTATGACGCTTAATCGTCGCACAACCTGCGAGTAGTTTTGATAAACATTTATCCGTAGGGGCACGATGCCCTATCAATACAGGTGCTGACACTCTCTTCGCAACGCTTTGAAAAGCGCCATCCCAGCGCGTCCCGATAATGTACGTTCGGGCCGTTATCAGTAATCTCGTCGAAGGCGCTATGAGGAGCCGGGTCAGCCGTCTTGGTCTGGTAAATGTTCTGTGTATTGGTCTCAGCAACATTCTCGACAGAAACGTGCATGCTGCTGATTCTAGATCTTTTTGTTGGCATGTGTGACCACGTTGTTTAGAAGCCAGGTTTTTTTTTCTTCGCGTATGTTCAATTATATTCTGTCGACGAAGGTGACATCAAATTGATGAAAGATTCTCGAAATGACTAGAACGTGTTTTTTGTACCAAATTGCCGTTCTGGCTTCGAACTTGTGCGGAGCGTGTCCCTCTCTTCAAAGTGCCGTCTGGCAGTTATTGTCTGACGGTGATCATTGGCATAAATATATATGCGAATTCGCATCGCAGCATCTAGCCATAAACAACTGCATTGCTTTAATATGCTCTATGTGAAATACTTGCGTGTTTCAAACACATATATATTTTGTGCAACAACTGCATTGCTCTTGTCTGTTTGTTATGGAATACTTGCGCGTTTTAAATTTTTATTTATATTGCGTTCACAATAAACAAGCGTAAATGCTTCGATGATTTTATGTGTAAATGAAAGCAGTCGGAAGTTCCTTGCATTTTTTCCCCTTGTGGAAGTATTTTGATGGAGCAAAAGCGCTGGCTAACATTTCTTGACTTTATTTTTTTTTTTTTTTGCTTCAAGCAATACTGTGAGCAGACAAAAATACTTGTGCGCGTGAGTGGAACTATTTGTGTTATATGTGTTCACGACGTTCACAACCTCCACAAGGCATTTTCGTGCCAATGATTCCTTAAACCAGGTAAAAGTCTACCTTTTAATCCGAAAAAGAACTTTCCTTCGCGCTGTAGGTATTACTCACACCACTTGGAACGAAAACGTTGGGGAGGCAGAGGAATTTGAGTGCGCCAACACCACTCTCTGGGTACGTTGGCCATGGCACCATCTGACGGCTCACAGCACAGCACGCCCGCGAGACCGAACACTATCTGGACGCTCAGGCGCGCTCAGTGTCCACGCCTGATTACTCTTGCACCATGGTAGTGGAAATGGCATACGCACTGCAAATTCACATGAAACATTTTGGTCTCAAACAGATTGAAAAAATTGTTTGCGGCAAGTACCAGCGCTACATGGGTCTCGTGGTGGAATTGTTTCAACGTTTGAACTGCTGCAAGTCATCTAGTTCGAGTGGCAAGCTGAACAACGCAGAACAAGCTCGATTGCAAGCGCAACTGCCCACGGAAGACGATCGTCTTCCAGAATGCAGACCATGCAGCATCTCGCCCAGCCAGCAGCTTGTTACGTCACGATTAGCGAGCGCATAAATCTTGCCCAAATTCTCATCCTGCTCACTTGTTCATGAAAATATTAGACTATAAATTAACTCCACGAATCAAATGCGCTAATATTTCGCCAGCTTCTCTGCGCACGTACAAGGACAACGACAACTTACACAACACAGGTTATGGTTGAAAGTTTGGCGTCAAGGCCCCCTTAAATGAACTCCCTCTGCCAACTGTAATTGGCTACAGTTACAACATGTAACCTAACAGTGTATGTGCTATCAGGAAATTCCACATGTATTCACTAAAGTCCCGTCAATCGCCAAAGTTTATGCCTATTAAGAATTTACCTATTTAATTCTAATTTAAATTATATATATAATTAGCTTCCCAAATGAGTTACACGTAAATATCGAAAGTAGTTTTATGTCGACGTAGAGTCATCATCGTCTTGCATCATTGCTTTTTGAAAATGGCAATATTGCTTCTTGCAGGAGATTGTCCGATCATTGCATTAGTGTTCTCAACGCGCAAAACTATCTGAGAGACATAAAGAAATTTCCTGGACAGACTATACGAAAGAAATATTACTGCCAGAGACTAATGGGAAATACTAAGGAATCAAGAAAGGTCTTCGTGAAAAAGGTGAGAATGAAAGCTAACCACTTTGCATCTTTGGTGCATCAGCGAGTAAACCATAACGTTCGTGACACAATAATTATAATTCGTTTTTTTGAGATACGCAAAGTTTTTGCGAAAATACGTGTCAACACGCGCTAGGCTGCATCGTACTCATATCAGCTTCGCGATATTTTCTATAGCCACGTAGGTTAGTTAAATGTTACCGTCTGACTTTTACAGTTGAAACATTGTTTTACGTGGGTATAGCATTTAACGGTGCTTTTGTGAAGAAGGCGAAGATTCGCGCAGGCTGATCATTTGCTCTTCCGAAACTTGGCCGAGGCTACGTCACTTGTTTTTGCGCCTTTGTTGATAAAGGGTAGCACACAACAAGTGACTCGCTTGTTTGCGGATTTTAAAGCGAAATGTTCTCAGCGCCCGGATAAACGTGGTGAGGTACGCGTTGTTTGTGTTGTCAAAGTCACTCAGTGGAGGGAATTGATGACGGCGATGAACGATGAGCAGCTAACTTACGAGGAACGACTTGCACTTCACATCCTCTCGTGCGCTAATGTTTTTGTACGGTCGTAAGTCCCTTCATATTTCTTGTATAATATCGTAGAGCGAGGTGAAGCGAAACCATAGTTGTTGTTTTTTGTACGTGCATTACATGTAGCCCACTTTCTGTCGGTATTATGGAGCACAGCATGCCACCAAGACACTCGAGCTTGACCAGCAAAACGAAATAGAACAATCGAACGTGCAGGTACAACTACAATCCACGCCTCTTTTCCACCTTCTCCTGCACTTCATGGGTACCTTCCGAATGACGTTGCTGCTCGATGAAGTTTCGCAATTTCAACGTTAAGAAAAGCATACGTGTGTATTTTTTCCGATATTCAAGTTTTGATAGCGCTTATAGTACCTGCATGCAACATGCGAGTGCAGTAAATTGCGCACAATGAGAGTCTCAGCATGGCTGTGACACAAGTGGTACTTAATGGGAAGTTAAATTCTTGTGTTCCATTGAATAAGCAATTCCACGTTGTTGACGGCTCAAGTATTGACGACGGCGTCTTTCAGTCTCATGAAGTTGGAATGGCGCGCTACTCACTAGCGGCCTACTACTGTGGCAAATCAGTCAGCCAGGCTTGGTAGTAATTACTTCGGAGTGCCATTCAGTTTATACGTCAATTCTAGTCGGCAGTGCTTTTGTGGCATGCAAAGAAATACGCAAAGAATCGTGGATGCACCGTCGATTAGCTCAAACCACCACCATTTGAAGTGCGGAAAAAAATAAGGTAGCGAACATTGCGCTGTTCCTTTCAATTAAGGAAGTACATTGGTCCAATATACATCATTTGGCGATCAATTTCACCCAATGCAAGCGGCACAGGGCGTACGTCCATGCGTCCTATCTTTTCCTGGGTGACTTCACGGGTCGACCCTCCTCACGCAACCACCTTCGGTTGCATGGTGCGCCACCAATAGCTCCTAGGCATATCAAATATCTAAAGCTCGGAGTAGCTGACGTCCACTGCTATGACAAACGCAAGCAGCAAATGCTTAAGTATGCGCTAAGAAGCAAAGCAAATAAATGAAGCGTCGCGCCCCAGGCTTGACACTCGGCTCTAGCGGAAGAAGCTCCATTTAGCGCTGAAGCAATGATCTCGCAAGTATCATTAGAGTGGGGCTATCGGCAATCGGACGTACGGATGTTAGACGAGACCCTGGAAAGCTCTCCCACGAGCAGAAATACATGATTAAGAAGCGTCAATGCATGAAAGTCTCGAACACCACAGACGAACTATAAATTGCACTACCTTTGAATCTATCGATATGCGTAAGAGAGCCTAAATAAGGAAGTATAACCTGGGCCGAGCTCAATACGGTCTAAATAACAGAATAATATGATGCCAACGAGGACGTGCAAACATCATAACTGAATACACTAATATATTGTTATGGCGTTTACTAGCGGGCAGACAGCGAGTATACACAATGGCGAAAGTAACGGCCAAGCACGGACTCCCAGCGCGAGCGGCGTTCTTGTTGGGTAGCCCCACTAGAAGGTACTCAAGAGTTCGACCCATTTCAGAGTTCGGAGGCTTCGCTACAATTACCCCGGGGTCGAAGAGGGAGCCGCCTGGCGACCTAACAGCTTGTTACTATGAGCGGGTCATAATAAGCCTTCAGGCGCTCCACGTTGACGATGTCTCGCCCACGGCGGCGCATGTCCGAAGATTGTTCAACGGGTTCGATCAGATAGTTGACGGGTCAGGTGCGCTCGATGACACGGTAGGGGCCTTCGTATTTGGGACGTAGTTTGGAAGAGAGGCCAGCTGCAGAGGTCGGGATCGAGAGCCATACAAGCGCACCAGGAAGGAACGTGGGCTCAGAAGTGGTGGAGCCATCACGAATACTCTTCTGCCGCTCTTGCTCTTGCGTCGTAAAAGTCTTGGCAAGCTCGCGACACTCTTCGGCAAGCCTGGCTGTCTCGGAAATAGGTGTACACTCAGATGGATCCGGCGTGTACGGGAGCATTGTGTCCATGGTGTGCGACGGGTGCCTTCCGTACAGCAAGTAGAAAGGTGAAAAACCAGTCGTGCTCTGAGGGGTGGTGTTGTAGGCGTAGGTGACGAAGGGCAGTATATTATCCCAATTAGTGTGGTTGGCAGCGACGTACATAGAAAGCATGTCGCCGAGGGTGCGGTTAAAGCGTTCGGTGAGGCCATTCGTCTGTGGGTGGTAAGCAGTAGTTTTTCGGTGGACAGAATGGCACTCCGTCAGAATGGCTTCGACGACTTCCGACAAGAAGACACGGCCTCGATCGCTGAGAAGCTCCTGAGGTGGACCGTGGCGCAGTATAAATCGATGCAGTAGGAAGGACGCAACATCACGCGCAGTAGCCGCAGGGATAGCGGCGGTTTCGGCGTATCGCGTTAAATGATCTACGGCGACGATGGCCCAGCGGTTACCAGCCGACGTCAGAGGAAGTGGTCCATACAAATCGATACCTATGCGCCCAAACGGACGCTCAGGGCAAGGTAACGGCTGCAGACTGGCTGGCGACATGTGTGCTGACGGTTTGCGGCGTTGGCAAGCGAGGCAGGAGCGAACGAACTGCTGCACATAGCGGTACATCCCGTGCCAGAAGTAGCGTTGTCGAATACGACGGTAGGTTTTGAATACCCCAGAGTGCGCGCATTGCGGATCAGAATGGAAGGATTCACATATCTCTGACCGCAGACTGCGGGGTATCACGAGTAACCACTGCCGGCCATCGGCGTCGTAATTGCGTCGGTGTAGAAGGCCGTCACGGATGGCGAAATGGCGAGCTTGACGACGCAAGGCACGCGTGGATGGCGTTGCGGATGGATCAGAGAGCAAGTCGATGAGCGGGCCGATCGAATTATCCTTTCGCTGTTCGGTAGCGATGATGTCAACATCAATGGCAGAAACAGCAGCTGAGGATACTGAGCAGAGCACATCACCTTCAGGCAGAGGGGAGCGCGAGAGGGCGTCGGCGTCAGCATGCTGGCGTCCGTTGCGGTACAGCACGCGGATGTCATAGTCTTGTAAGCGAAGAGCCCAACGGGCGAGACGGCCTGAGGGATCCTTCAATGATGAAAGCCAGCATAGTGCATGATGGTCGGTGACGACATCGAATGGGCGACCATACAAATAAGGTCGAAACTTTGTAAGGGCCCAGACGATCGCCAGGCACTCTTTCTCCGTGACGGTGTAGTTTGTCTCGGCTCTCGTGAGCGTACGGCTTGCATATGCTACGACATATTCAGAGAATCCGGGTTTGCGCTGCGCCAGGACAGCGCCGAGGCCTACACCACTGGCGTCTGTGTGCACCTCCGTCGGGGCCGTAGGGTCGTAGTGGCGTAGAATGGGAGGAGACGTCAGCAAATGGCGGAGCTTCGCGAACGCGTCGTCGCACTCAGACGACCACGAATTGAGGGGCCCGTTACTTCCAAGGAGCTTCGTCAGCGGTGATATAATCGTAGCAAAGTTTCGTATGAAGCGTCGGAAGTATGAGCACAGGCCCACGAAACTACGCAGTTCTTTGACGGACGCAGGTTTGGGGAATTCAGCCACAGCCCGAAGCTTCGCTGGGTCAGGAAGAATGCCATCCTTAGACACGACGTACCCTAGGATGGCGAGTTGCCGTGCTGCAAAGCGGCACTTCTTCAGATTTAGTTGCAAGCCGGCATTGCTCACACGTGCGAAAACTTCTTTCAGACGTTGGAGATGCGTGGAGAAATCTGGAGCGAACACAACAACGTCATCGAGGTAACACAAGCACGTGTGCCATTTCAAGTTGCACAGAACGGTGTCCATCATGCGCTCAAAGGTCGCAGGTGCATTACATAGACCAAACGGCATGACGTTGAATTCGTACAAGCCGTCGGGTGTGATGAACGCAGTCTTCGGTCGAGCGTCATCAGCCATGGGTACTTGCCAGTACCCGGAGCTTAGATCGAGAGAAGAAAAAAATTCGGCTCCGTGAAGGCTGTCAATTGCGTCATCGATGCGCGGCAGTGGGTAAACATCCTTGCGAGTGATCTTATTGAGCCGTCTGTAGTCCACACAGAACCGCACAGAACCATCTTTCTTGGCGACAAGAACAACAGGAGACGCCCATGGACTGTCCGATGGCCGAATAACGTCGCGTCTGAGCATATCATCAACCTGTTCGTTAATTTCCCGACGTTCAGTAGGCGACACGCGGTAGGGACGTTGCCGTAATGGTGGATGGGCACCAGTGTCGATACGATGTGTAACAGCGGACGTGCGACCGAGAGAACTTCGCCCGACATCGAAAGAAGAATGATATTCTCGCAGCAGGTCCAGAAGCTGGGAACGCTGTACCGACGTAAGATTGTCATCAATGTAAGGGCCAAATACATCAGGAGATGATGAATCATAAGTGGAAACAGCGCTGACGGTACACGAACTGGGACAACGCGAGTCATCAGGTACGTCCAGGACTTGTGCGTTATCCACTGGTTCCACTCTGCCGAGACATTCCCCTCGAACCAAGGTAACAGTGTACGGGGATGGGTTGGTCACAAAAATAGCGGCGTTGCTCTGGGTGATTTGCACGGTCGCGAAAGGTACTAGCAACCCTTTCCTTCGGCAAGCACGGTCGGATGGCGAAACGAGTGCAATTGTGTCGGAGAGTCCAGCGCAGTAGACAGATACACCCATTGCCGAACTTGGAGGCACTATGGTATCGTCTTTCACGAGAATCTTACTCAGTGTCGAGGGACTGTCTTCCGGCGTCAAATGCGAGAAGGGTGAGAGTTCAATTTCGGCAGCGGCACAATGGATGACGGCGTCGTTGCGGGAGAGAAAATCCCACCCCAGGATGACGTCATGAGAGCATGCAGGAATGATGATGAATTGGCCGACATACAGAACGTCCTGAACGACAACGCGAGCTGTGCACTCTGCTGAAGGATGGATACGATGTGAACCGGCAGTACGAAGGGACAACCCAGAAATCGGCCGTCGTCACTTTTCGAAGCAAGCGGCAGAAGTTTTCGTCCATAACGGATACTGCAGCTCCAGTGTCAATAAGAGCAGATGCATGAACACCGTCCACAAGCACGTCTATGACATTAGATGGGCGGCTCTGAGGGCTTTCATATCGCAATAGCATCGCAGTCCTTGCCTCGGGGACTGCGACGACTAGTTTTCCCGCTCATGATTAGCCGAACTTGGCCTCATGGGGGACAGGGAACGACGTCGTGGAGACGGCGACCTTCGAGGAGATGAACCTGGGCGAGACGGCGGTGGCCTAGACGGTGGTTCGTCGTGATAGGGACGGCTGAGGTGGCCAGCTATAGGCGAAGAAATTGGAGCCGGCTGTACACGATGGCAATAACGGGCTACGTGACCGGCGTAACCGCAGGCAAAGCAGATGGGTCGGTTGTCGGGTGTGCGCCATCGGTTCGCTGGGGTAGGTCTTGTCCATGACGTAAGAGCCGATGGACGGAACTGTGGCTGGAAAGGCTGCAGGGGGTGCTGGAGCTGAGTCTGCGAGGTCACGTCAACATACGTAGCCGGCATAGCCGCTGTAGAGGATGGAGGTCGTGCGGCAGCTTCGGCGTAAGTCAGTGGGGCGGGCGGTTGAACGACTGGAGGCGGCCTAGCGACCACTTGGGCGTAACTTGGGGGCGCAGGGGCCGGAAGCTGTTGTGGTTGGTACGCCGGCATGACCTCCGCTATTTCCTGCTCAATTGCTCGGCGGATGGGTGGAAGAATGGTAGTGGCCGATTGTTGAGCAGCCGGTGGGTGGGCAAAGGGCAGGAGAGAGAACTGCCGCGCGATTTCCTCACGTATGAAGGACTTGGGGTCTGCCAGCAGTGCCACCTGATCACAGCTCGCCTCCAAGCCTGCAAGCCCTGCATCTCGTGGTGTAGAGCGACGGGTCATCGAACGCTGCCGGCGGAGCTCCTCGTAGCTCTGGCACAGCGTGATGACCTCAGCTACTGTGCCTGGGTTTTTGGCAAGCAGCATCGTGAAGGCATCATCGTCTATGCCCTTCATGACGTTCCGGATCTTGTCTGATTCGGACATGCTGTCGTTGGATTTTTTGCAAAGGTCCAGGACATCTTCTATGTAACTGGTGAATGATTCACCAGCCTGCTGAGCGCGTTCGCGTAAGCGCTGCTCGGCTTGCAGCTTACGAACGGCAGGGCGGCCAAAAACGTTGGTAATAGCGGTCTTGAAATTGGACCAGGTTGCGAAATCGGACGCGTGGTTGTTGTACCACAAGCTTGCAACGCCCGCAAGGTAGAACACCAAGTTTGTCAACTTGCCGTCCTCGTCCCATTTGTTGGGGACGCTCCAGTCCTCCACGTCAGTGCCAGTCCTCCACGTCAGTGCCATCGGCGCCCGTGAAGATGGGTGGATCTCGGATCCTGGGGACACCGGCACAAGGGGGTGGCATGGGAGGAGGCGTTTGCTGCGAGGCGTCGTGGGACATTGTAGATTGCAGGGTACGTGAACGCAGTTCCCAGGGCATCAAAAGGGATCGTAGCACTCTCCACCAATTTGTTATGGCGTTTACTAGCGGGCAGACAGCGAGTATACACAATGGCGAAAGTAACGGCCAAGCACGGACTCCCAGCGCGAGCGGCGTTCTTGTTGGGTAGCCCCACTAGAAGGTACTCAAGAGTTCGACCCATTTCAGAGTTCGGAGGCTTCGCTACATATATATATATATATATATATATATATATATATATATATATATATATATATATATATATATATATATATATATATATATATATATATATATATATATATATATATATATTGTAAGCACAATATATATGGTGGTTCTGGGACGTTGAACCCCACATATCAATCAATCGATTGGTCACCTCAAAGTCGCGCTCGTGCGAACTTTAACCATCACGTAGAAGCTTCTTCTGTTTAGTTGTGTTTAACGTGTCCTCTTACGTTTTTTATAGGCAAATAAACATTCAGACTCATGCTGTCTTAGCTTATTTACCAGCCGAGTTTCTCTATGCTGAATTTTATGTGTGCAAGATTTATAATGGTCAATAATTATCGGTATCAGATCTAAGAACGCTTTACTTAACACTTCTTGCCATTTGGCTTTGCTAAAGGTCAAAAGTTCGTAAGTAGCTGGTTTAAATCTTATCTTCAAACTTTTCGGGACTACCTAAGCATTCAAGTAGCTCGTAAGTGAGGATACGTGTAGCTCAGAATGAAATTTTTTCTCAACAATTTTTCTTGCTTCTAAAAACCCTCGCGAAGCAAGACTTGGAACATTGCCTTTAATCGCAAACGCCTGCCGTCAGTCGGTCGCACTCCCTCGACCAGCGTGTCGGCGGGTAGGGTAGCGATGACCCACGGTGGCGGGAGTGTCAGTTCGGTTTTGCCGGGTTTTGTCTTGGCTTGAAGAAGCGAAGTTGTCGGTAGTACCCGCAGGGGACTTTTGTTGGCGTCTACCGGGAGACGTCCGCGTGGAGCGTTGTGGGGGTTCTCACTTTGGGCAGTCGCGCCGTGATGAAGTAGTTCATGGGAAACGTTCGCATCAGAGTTCGCGAATGTGACTGGCGATGATAGCAACACCTTCGAAACTTATATGAAGACAATCACTTGCCAACACACGCGTCAGGGGCAGCCAGTGGAGACCATGATTGACGAAAAAAAACTTTCTTGGAGCGCCTGCAGTAGTTGCATAGTAGTCGGTTGAACTACGTGGCCTCCATATTGCGCCGGTGAATATCGGTTGAAATTACAGCGGTTAGGGCAGCGTGGAAAAACGATTGTAGCACAAATCCTTGAAATTTGAAATCATATTTTATTTTATTTTACAATCCCCAATAATTGTCATAGTCTCGAGTAATGTGTAATGCTCATTATACTGCAGGATAATGGATGCTTTCTTCAATGCTGCCTTAAGTACCCCTATTATACGTCATGTGGCCAATACAAAATGCTGGATGGCATGACCTGTGACCCGGGCAAGGTAGGTCCTGCAATGCCTTGCAAGTTTTCTTATTAGAGTGTCTATTTCCCTTCTTCAGAGAATGGCATGTGCGAAAACTAGAAAATCCTGCGCGTTTCAAAATGCTGCCTGCGGTGAAGCTTGTTATAACGTGGAAACCACACTAACATTGAAACACTATGCACCTAATCTTGGTCGTATATTTAACCTGGTATAAATAACATTGATAAATTATAAGCCGCATCCGTAGGAGGGTTCTAAGATGGGAAGAAAATGCTCCAAACTCACATATGCCGTATCCTAAGAGGCCTGGTTGAGCGGTCACCGTGCTCAGATGCGGTCATGCTATAGCACCAGGCCCTTTTCAGCTCCGACGGTGGCTTTTTGATGAAGTAGAAAGGCTAGAGACGGTGTGCCACAGAAACATCGAAGTATTATTTCGTTCCCATGTGAACAGATTGCGCCACGCTACGCTCATTCGACTACTTTCACTGCCAGCTTGTGCGTTATATAAGTCATCCCCGATTTGCAATATGGCATCCAGCTATTTTTATGTATAGACAAGGACAACAAAAAAGGTTCTGCGGAGGCGCTTAACATATCGCGGCTGATAATGAACATAAAATTGGGGCACGGGGCGAGAGTGATTTCTATGGATTGAATGATTCCAGTTTTGAAGGAAGCTACTAGGCAGTGCTATTTCTTTATACAGCGGCAACTGTAATCAGACCCCACCAGCGGCCGATTTTGGGTTGTATTGTTGCCCAGTGCCACAACTGCAGGTGTGCGTAACCACCATAGAGCACAATGACAAAAATTCGACAGATCCCTCACATTGAGGTAAAAGGGGTTATGCGATGCAGTCACCGAGTAGCAGCCTATGTCAGATGTTTCGCTTTCAGCCAAGCGTTACAGGGTCTGTCGAATTTTTTCCGCAAGTTAAGTATTATGCAAGTAGTATTAAGTGGCTCGCATACTCAGTAGCGTAATTTAAGTAGTGCGCACTTCCTTCTAGCTTCATCGGTTTTCATGGTTGCTTATGACCCCAAAGCGGGGCATGTAAGGTGATGCTTGAATTGCTATTGTACACCCATTTGATAAAAACATAGCTAATGTATAACCTTTTGTTGTTTATGTTATTCGTAATACAGCTATGTCAATCCTATAAGAACTGTCACTTTTTTATACATTTGTCCTGTGCTGAACGACTGTACTTCAACGTTTTTTTGCAGACTTGCCGGAGAGGAGTTTGTGCGAAGCACTAATTACGCAACAAAGCCATAACTGTCAATATTCAAGAAATCATTCATGCTATAAAAAGGAAATGAAACTGTTTTAGAACGACCATTAGGTATACTTCATGTCTATGAAAGGCAGTAACAACTATATCGCGGCTCCAAATAAACACCTCACATACTGCAAGCAACGAATAGGTTGATTATATATCGACATTTGTTTTTCTTCGAAAACTACGCCAGCTGCTTTCGGAACCACCCAAGTACATTTGAAGCAAATGATACATTAAAGAGAAAAAAAAAGCCGGCAGATCTCCTACCTTGGTAATCGACGTTATGTGAAGCATTCGCAGGGAAGGTGACAATGGTGTAATTTTTTTTGCGTGACACGTTATGAAATTACGCTAGTTATACGTACAAATGTTGCACTCAAACACGTATGTCGAAGTTTCCAATGCTTGTATAGCCAGTTGTTGCACTTGCGCAAGGATGCCAACAGGAACATGAGTATAGTAGCAACTCTTGAAGCGATAAGCTGATATGAAGCGCTGGTGCTCGCGATGATGGTGGCCTTCGATACCGCTACATAAATCAACTTGAGTGCATGACACTTATAGCTACAATTAACGTTAACCCAACGTGACGGCTGCATCATAACAGTACATCTGTAAAGTTTATGAAATTGGATTGCCAGCACTGCGACTGAAATCGGCATTTCGCAAACATAAGTTTCTACTTAAATATAGCTTCACAGCCTGGCGTGGCTCTGTGGTACGATGCTTGATTGCCATGCGGAGTGCAGGAGCTCAATTTCCACGTGAACCTTGACGTTCATTCTTTGCATTCGTCTGGTCAACACTGTTGATGTCAGGTTTTCTCAACGCTCACGCCTTAAAATTACCCGTGTGCGTTCGCGTCAATCCTGGGTAGATAGTCACCTGTGGCACATACCCGCATACCAGTGGCACACAACCGCCAGCGGGTATTTGCCACTGTTTGGCGTTAAGTGTTCCACGACGTATGCGACGGGGTTGTGACATTATTCATGTCTTCACGAGCACGTCATATTCTTCAAATCATCTTACCCTTCCATACTAATTTTTCTTCGTGTCAAGTTAAGACGGGGATCACGAGAACACCCAGACGAAAGCGGTTAGATAGATAGATACAAATATGCGCAGATAGATGCGAAAAGTGCTTGACGCTTAGTACTGTTAATAAAATTTTCCTGCCATGTACTGCTGTGGAAGTTTTGTGAAATTCTTCTATTTCAGCGATCTTATTCTGGCAATGTTGCGGTATGTATGAACATCTAAGCATTACTTATTTCCCGTAAAAATATTTTCAGACCAGTGAACTTTCTGTAAATTTAAGAGGAAGGATAACGGCCATCGAATCCTGGCTGCGGTGGCTGCATTTTCGGTGGAGGCGAAAATGCTGTAGGCCTGTGTGCTCAGCTTTCGGTGCACGTTAGAGAACACCGAGTGGTGGAAATTTTCGGAGCCTTCCAATACGGTGTCTCTCATAATCAAGTGGTGGTTTGGGACGTGGAAACCCCAAATATTAATGCAATCAGGATAACGACTTTGGCAAGATTACCACATTGGTCCACGACTCCACAGTGAGGAGAAATTTACACCACGTAGTGCTTCAAAAAAAAAAGGGCCCCGTAACCGCTTGTCACACTGCAAAAGTCGTCGAAAGACGATAGTCCTGCGTCTGAAGAGAGTGAGCAAAACGTTTAATTGATGTGCTGCGCAAGAAAGTCGGTGAATTATATTCTGGAAGCGCTGTGTTAGGGTGACTCGAGTGTGCAGCGGAGGCGAACGAGCACATCAAGTCACGTCACACGTGAGACATGAGCGCCGTCTGACAGTTATGTTGGAAAACAAAGCACGCTGCGTGTGCACCCCTCTAGAATGCGATAAGGTGTAGAACTCAAGGCAATGGGTAAGTGCCACTACCATGTCGTCATAGCAAGGCGTTGGAAACAATTGACTTTTCGTACAAGCGTTGCATTGTCAGCGCAGCGTCATAAGTGCTATGGTCCTTGGAATTACTTATGTATGACATTTCTAGTAAAACGACACCCATACAGAATATTGATGTGTTATGGTGCCTACTATATTCGCAGTAATTGCTTTTTAATGGACCATCGCACAAGTATTAACACTAAATCTTGAGCAATATTCGTGGGCGCTGCAGATGGAGTCGACCGTTTGAAGGATTATGCGGTGCCGTTCAGGCCTTCGAGTATCGTTAAAGGTGCACAAACAGACCAAGCTTTTTGTGTCAAAGGTCCCCGATAAAGACTATCATCTTTAAACATCACAGCATATCTATGGAATGAATGTTGATGAATGCGACGCAGTGCCCATCCGTCCATCCATTCTTGCTTCCGTCCGTCTGTCCGTTCGTGTGTGCTTCCGTCGGTCTGTCTGTTTGTGCGCCCGTGCTTCCGTTGGTCTGTTCGTTCATGCTTGCGCTCATCCCTACATTCTTCCTTCAGTCCGTCCGTGCTTGCATCCACCCGTCTATGCTTCCGCCCGTCTTCCCAGACGTGCTTCCATCCGTTCGTGCATGTTTCCATCCGTCTGTCTTTCCGCGTGTCTGTCCTTTCGTCCGTCCGTGCTTTCGCCCGACTGTCCTTTCCTGCTTCTTCCCATCCATTTGACTCCCTGTCTGTCTATTCATCTGTCTGTCGGTTCGTGCACTCATTCGTCCATATGTCTGTCCGCCCATTCATCTGTCTATCTGTCTATCTGTCCGTCTGCCTGTCCGTCCACCCATTTGTGTCTGTCTGTCCGTCCGGCCGTAAACTATATGACGTTGCGAACGATACGAACACCACTAACACCATTTAGTGATAATATTTCCAAGGATGAATGGATTTATATGGCCGTACCCTTTCGATCGGGCGGTGGCTAAGCTGTAATACTTAGTGAGCCAAAAAATACATTTATTTTTTTCTCTTTAAATAGTGAGGCTGAGGACTCGTACTTTGCAGTGAAGGGTTTATTTTCATTCGTGCCTTGACTTTAGCTGCCAATCAGATAACCTCCTTCTTGTTATTTCTACCCGCTTGAGGTCTATTTTGCCCACTCTGTCCGTAAACCTCAGTGCTTTGAAAAACTCTGCGCCATCATCGTGAACTATAGGGTGAAGCCCTCTACAGAGCATTATCAAGTGTTCGGCACTTTTCTCTTCCTCCCCACACGCACTGCATATCGTGTCTACCCCTTCGTATTTGGCCCGATTTGTCTTGGTTCGCGATACTCTTGTCCTGGCCTCAAACAGTAGAGAACTACCCCGGGAATTATCATAGAACATTTCCTTAGCAATTTCCTGCTTAAACGTTTGATAGATCTCTAGTGCGGACCTCTTAATCATGCCGATTCTCTACATATTGGTCTAAGCTTCTTTCACCTTCTTCTTAACCGATAATGTTTTTTGGTTTGGCCCCCTGCTGTTTTCTAAATATTTACCAGTCCATTTTCTTGTTCACTTTCTTCATTTTGCATCGACTTTCTTCATGTACAAGTAGCTGAATACCTTCCTATCCCAACGCTCTTCCCCCATTTCTCTCAATCCTTTCTGAAACTTTATCTTGTTGCTAGCTTCCCTGCCCTCAGATGATGTCCATTCCATATCACCTTGTACTCCCTGATTTGGTGTATTTGCTTGAGCTCATAAAGCAAGCCTACCTATTCCACCTTTCTTGATTTCTAATCTTGCTTGAACTTCTGAACTCATGCACAAGACCAGAATGCCGAACGTTAGATTAGGAACCATGACCCCTTTCCATATTTCTCTCACAGCGCCACACCTATTGTAATTCCACATTGCCCTGTTTTTCATCACCGCTGCATTTCTGTTACCTTTAGTCGTCATGTATAATTTGTGTTCCCTTAGGTACTCGGGCCCATTGCTTATCCATGCGCCCGGATATTTGCATTTATCTGTTATCTCTAGCGTGACCTCCTGTATAGTAAGCTCACTACCTTCATTATTATTAAAAATCATGACTACTGATTTTTCCTTACTGAATCTGAAATCTAACCTATCTCTCTCATTACAGCAAATGTCCATAAATCTCTGAAAATATTCCTTGTTGTCGTCCATTAGCACTATATCGCCTGCGTACATCAATGCTGGCAGTGCCTGTTCAATAGGTTTTCCTTGTTTGACGAAAGAGAGGTTCATGCCCAGTCCACTTCCCTCTAATTTGGCCTCTAATCTTTGTGGGTACATAATGAATAACAAGGGTGACAGAGGACACCCCTGCCTAAGCCCCCATTTTACCTCTGCAGGCTTGGATACCTCTTTTTCCGACTTTATAACTACCTTGTTACCTTTAGAGATATCCTTTAAAAGATTTCTGACTACATGTTCCACGCCTAGTGTGTCCACTATTCCCCACAAGTCCTCTTCAACCACGCTAACGTACGCTCCCTTGATATCCAAAAATGCTAGCCACAGGGGTCTGTGTTCCTTTTCAGCTACTTCGATGCACTGCGTCAGTGAAAACAGATTGTCTTCCAACCTCCTGTGTTTCCCAAACCCATTCTGCAGTTCCCCCAGCACCCCCTCATCCTCTATCTATGCCTGCAGTCTTTTCTTTAAAATCTGCATCCCCAGCCTGAAGACGACTGATGTCACTGTTATAGGACGGTAGTTGTTTATGTCAGCTTTGTCCCACTTTTCTTTATAGATTATGCTCATCCTGCTAAGTTTCCATCCATCGGGAACTTCACCATCGATTATTATTTTGCTCACTGCATCTCTCAAATCCTGCTTAGACTTAATATCTTTGTCAGCACAACTGGAATGCCATCTGGGCCTCTTGATGTACTGCTAGGAACCCTCTTCTCAGCCCTTTCCCACTCTCATTGTGAAAATGCAGCCATTGTGCCACTTGATTCATCCTTGTCTATTGTGATGCATAAAGCACTTCTTTGAAGAAATTTTTCTGTCATCCTGTTTCCTATTTATTCAATAGCTTCGTCCTGTTCTAGCCTAGCACCTGGAGCGTTAGTTATAAACCTCTGCTCTAGGCTTGTCTCACTTCCTAGGGTGTTTAGAAGGTTCCAAAATTTTGCAGCTGCCTTTCTATCTTTTTATGTACTTCTGCCAGCCACTGAGCTCCCTTTCTTCTAATCTTTACATTGATCA